ATCTCTAACTACTTTCCCTTTACATTCTCCTTTTCAGCTTCATGGGCCACCATGAAAACTCCTGCTCTAAAGCCTTTACACTGTCTATTCCTCTGCCTGGAATACACTTCCCCTTGATACCCACAGGGCTTCTCCTTGGCTCACTGCATGATTCCTGTGCTCAAAAATCACCTTCTATATGAGGCCTATACTTATTTAAAATTGCAACCCACTCCACATTCCCAATTCCCCTTTCCCTGCTCTATATTTTCTTTTCTCCTTGGCATTCTTTGCCAACTAATATAGTATACGATTGACTCATTGTTTTTATTATTGTTTATTATTGTTTCTCCTCCCAATCCTCTTAGAATATAAAGTGAATTCCAAGCATCTAGAACAATGCATAGTACACGGTAGGTAGTTATTAAATACTTATTGAATGAAGCTCAGGAAATAAAGTGAAACCGCAATCAACAAACCCTCTGAAATCAACAAAGATGACCTATGCACTAAGGGTACAGGACAATTTCCTATCACCTCGCAGCTAGGTTAGTGTCAGTACTATACTGACAAGGCGGTAAGATTATCTCAGGCCTATACAGCAGTACCTTATAGGAGGAAAAATCTTCCAGGGTTCAAACAGCCTGCTCACCTAAAAACAGGGAGGGCCATCATTAGAGGGGCAGGAGCTTATTATGCAGGCTGAGAAGTTTGGAAGAAGCCAAAGCACAAAGTACCTGGTAAACAAACAATGGCCTGATGGGTTCTTGACAAGGATGGAATCCATGTTTTGATACTAACCTCATGATTCTCAATTATTCTACCTCTGAAAAGCTCCCACCAACAAAGCACATTACTCAACTACTCAATCATTAAAAGCAGATGAGTTCCATCATCTGTAATCATAACCTATATAAAAAGGTTCATAGAATTATTATGAGAATCATCAACCATGTATAAAATACCTAATAAATGCCCAAAACATAGCAGGTACTCGGTAAAGGCAAGCTAATTATAATGACAGCAAAAACACAATCTTTGATATAAAATGATTTTTTAACAATATAAATACACATTTGAAGAAAAAGTAAAAGCTGTATTATGATATTTTATACCCCATTTTATTATTTCTCCATTTCCTTAAACTGACATATCAATCTTGACTAAAGCCTTAATCCAGATTAGTGGCATCAGCTAAACTGTACAATAAAGTATTAATTTCTAAATTTTAAAATCTATTAATAAGTCATTCTTAGTAGAAAAAAGCACATTCATTTATATAACTATCCTACTTTAAGAAAACTTAAAATATGAAAAATTCTAATTTACAAAAAAATGTTTGGGAATGCTTCATTTTACAAGTGGATTCACCATAGTATTATTTTAAACATTCATTTACAAGCTGTTTGGGCTAGAGAAAGAGAAATGAGTTACAATATTAGAAGGCAATGCATCAGAAATAAAGGGAAAGCAACTCTGAAATAACAATGTAAGCAACAGAGAAGATTTAATTTAGAAAAATTCAACCTACGTACAACTTTTCAGAAAAATAATTCAAAACTTCCTTAATGACGATTTTAATTCATAAATAACACGACAATCCATCCAGCCATAAACAATAACTAGAGCACCCAAAATGCCCCTTGACATTGCTCACATCATGTCTCTGGGTCGTAAGAATGCTCCCCGCACCTGCATTACCAACCCTTGTGCTGTCCATCCAATATTCTCCTTACACTTAAGATGCAATACACATATCATCTTCATTCCCTTAGTTTTTCCCTCTTCCCTCTATAAATCTTTAACAATGAGATGTAAAAAATACAGTGGTAACCAAAAATGAAGATAATTCACAGGTGTGGTATAGATGACTAGGAAGCTGGAAGAGAAGGGAAGCAGCACGTTGCAAAAGCAAGGGTGTAAGAAAAAGACTGTTTTATCTTTGTAAACTCAATGCAGTTGGGGGAGGATTGGGAATAGCCAAAGACAAGGCTTAGGAAAGGTAGAACTCTTATTTCTGACTACTTCAACATTGTCTTATTAATTTTCCAATCTCTAGTGCCTAGCATACAACAATAGGTCAATAAATATTTACTGGATAAATTTGCTAGCTTGGAAAAATCACAAAAAGTAAAAAAAAAAAACCTTCCAAATTCCAAAGGAAAAGTATTTCTCCAAACTGCTTTTTGCATGTCAATATTTGTAAAAAATAGAAGACTAAAAGACTAATGTAATTATTTCCAAGTTAATTCAAAAATACCACAACAGCTCAGATAACTGACTTTATTCATTAAAACAGCTAAGATATTGAAATATGATTTATGTTGTATAACATTTTATTTTCTGATGAATTACAAATATATGAAGCAACTTTTCTGAAGTGACTCATCTAAAACAAAATTTCTTCAACCATATGCAATGTTTTGTGGCACTCTGGGGTATGTCATGGACACCTTTGATGGCCTAATGAAGCCTATGGATGCCTCAGAATAATGTTTGTAAAGCACAAAATAAAATTCATGGGACTAAAATTAAAAAGGAAGAAAAAAAAAAGAATATATATGATTCCAAAGAAAACCAATTACATTAAAATTCAGTCCTAACCACAGACCACAGTTCTAATCATGTACCCTTAGTTTATAAAAGAACTGCTGATAGAGGATATGGATTAACTTGGAAAAGCAAAGAAAAAATACTTTTGCCTAAATATTCTATATATGTAGTATTCCTATTATTTAAAGAAAATAACTAGCCAAGATTAGGATATTAAATAGTTATTTAAAGTTTAAATAACCTCTGAAAATTTTATCTGTGGTAGAACATTCCTTGTTCCTATTGTGTGCATATACTGTAATGCAAAATTTTCTAAAATCGTTACATCTGTACAAAATTAATAATACACTAATGCTACATATGTATCATCACTAATTTGTAGCTATCTCTCCAAATATGACATAAATTAGCACACTTCCTCCTTTAATCCAAGAGCTCATGAGCAACAGTAGGCTATACTGACAATCTTTTGAGCCCAAACACATCTAGCACACCCTGTGGTCAAAATACTTCCATATGAAATATCTAAGTTACCTTACTGTAGCGTGCCTTAGGGCTTATAATTAAGAAAAACCTTATAGTTAAAGCTGTCAAATACCAAGATCTGCTAAGTATTTTAGTAACTAAACATCCTTGTAGGATAGCTCAATCTACCACTTTATAGATTTCAAACATATTTTTGGAAAACTGTAGGGTAAAAAATGTCCTTTCTAGCATGATAGGTGAGTTCCAAACAGTACCAGCAGGGAAAATAACTGTGATTTTGACTTTTGAATGTGTACACTACCTTAAAACAGAATTTTCATCTTTAAACTCTTTGTCTTGCTAAAACAAACTCCTAAACCATGATCCCAAAATTGTTGATACTACACAGTTTAAAATAAACATATGACACTAAATAATAGAAAAGATCTTGACCCACAGTACATACTAAAACCATAAGTTTTGTGATTTCTTTTTTTAAGAAAAAGAAAACTAGGTGAAAAATGGTGCCCTTCCACCATTAAAATTGCTTTCCTTGTAAAAACTACTTTTTTGTATCTTCTAAAGAAAATAATATTAATGAATGACTATTGGTGTCAAGTTCCATGAACTATACGCAATCTACATACATTTATAAAAAGGTTTTTTTAGTTAATAGGGAAAAGGAAAGATCTGTTCTTGGTTGCTTATTTTTCACACTGTAGTAAAAAATACACTAACTACCAGTGAGTTGAGTTGAATAAATCACCATCATGATTTATCACCAGTAATCATGAACCTAAACAAATTGTCCAAAGAGCTCATTTTAAAAACGTCTAAAATGTAAAATAAAAACAAAAACCTTGTTTTTTCAGAACATAATTAACTCCTACCTACAGTGAGTTTGTCTATTTGGAATTATGACAATGGTAGATAAATCATATATTCTGATTTTGCAAAATAAGTTTCGTTTGTTTTAGTTTCTCTTTACAAGATTAAGGATTTATGCCTAGACTATCATCATGGAACTGAAAAGACATAGAAAATTAAACTAACAAGAAGTATTAACTTAGCCAAAAGTTCATTTCAATCACAATTTTGTTAGCAATTTCTCCTCCTTTTAAATATTGAGAATTAGCAACGCTTTCCCTTAAAGAACAGAAAAGTGAATCAGACCCTAATCACAAAGACCCTGCTAAATTTAAACATCCTTCAGAAATAGCCTTGAAAACTCCTTGCAAAAAAATACATATTTTTTTCCAGATGAGAAAACATTTGGCAACTCTGCTATCTAACAAATAAAGCCTTGCAGTACATTTTGCAAGCATTAATCAGGCTTCGCATTGATAAAGAAAACCTTGTAGCAGGATAACAAAACCTCAGAGCACGCTCAGATTGCAGTCTTTAGAAACGGAGGGTATTACACCTGTGCAAGTACTTCCTGTTCTCCAACGATGTTTAAAAGTAGTTTGGTAAACGTCCCATAAGTCGCCATTTAGAAGCTAAACATTAACTTTCTAAATTACTACTACCACCCAGAAACCACCAGCCCAAAGATTCTCACGAATCATCTCTTCTCCGAAGAGGGCAACATAACTACCTGGACCCCTTTCAAAAGCTGCTGCTCGGGAGAGGCAGTGGCTTGAAAAGTGAGGGGCAGGCGCCAGGTAAGCGTAATATTCATAATCCCAATGCTGTAAACGACCCAGCAGGATCCCAGGTTCTGCCCCGGGCCAGCCCTCAAACACAGCAGCAACTAACAACCACGACCCAGTAAGTACAGCACCTCCTCCCTTCGCGCGCGCCTCCAGCCTGGCCAAAGGCATCTCCGCCAGATCCCGGACGCGGCGGGAAGGAGGCGGGGAAGCTGCGTGACCTCGGGCGCTAGAACCCGGGCAAAGAGCCCTGAGTCTGCCCCGAGGAGGGTGGGGTGGGAGAGGAGGTCGCGGGACTGCAAGGGGAGAGACGAGGCCTGGGACTGGAATGAGGGTCTCCGAGTCAGGCCCATGGGGGTAGCAGGTCGTTGGACCTCCATCCAGGGACTAGTTTTGGAGACTTACCTTGAGCTCTGTCCTTTTAGTGAGGGGAGAGTGCGGCTCAGGTAGAGAAATACGGGCCTTCTACCTCCCGCTGGCCCAGCTCCGCCTCAAGCTGACAACAGGCTGACACACCAACAGCTGCCACCGTAACCGGGTCTCACCGGGAACTAGAGCTGAGGAGACTGGTCTCCGCCGCCCAAAGCGCGATCCTGCGCACGGAGCATGCGCACACGTCTCAACACTGCCAGTCAGGGCAGTGACACCTGCGATCAACAGGTCCTGGGAGCCCCGCCCCAATCCCCGCCTCGCCCCCGCCCCGCCTCCTTGGAGCGGGCCCCGCCTTCATGCTCACCGAGCTGGCTCCGCCCCCGCACGCGATTTCCCGGCTTTCGGGACCTGCCGAACTGTGTTCCCGCGGGGGTTCGTTGGGGCGCGCGATCCAGTTGACTTACTCGGAGGCGCAAGATCCCGCGAGAGCAGGAGGTTGACCATTTTTCCTAAGGCGGGAGCGGAGCGCTGTGGCTTAGCTGTTGGAGAAAGGTGGCTGCAGGTTGGTCTGTGTGGTGTAGAGGGGAAGAAGGGATAGCTCCTCAGGTGGAGGTGATTATTCCGATACGCTTGGTCGTTTGTTTATTCAGTATTTTCTAAGCTCAGGGACGCGAATCCACCAAGGACTGGGCTTTAAGTTAGGAGTTGTTACCTCAGAGAAAACCTGTACTGCCTGGCCTCGAAACCCTTGCGAATACTCAGTTCTCTTTAGCATCTGTTTGCAGTTAAATGACTTCCATTGGTATGAGTGTATATACCCAGCTGGTTGTTTCGTGACTATTAATAAATTGAAAGACTTAATAAACACGTTGACCCGGTTAATGGTTAATTGTGGTGAGAAAAATGTGTCTGCCTCCTTACTGTGCTTTCAACAGGTTTTAAGTTGCAAGCTAATGCTTGGGGAATGGGCTAAACTTTGTTTTGGAATAACTTGTTTCTTAGGAACAGTAGTAAATGAAAAACCCACTGTCTACTGATCCCTCCCAATAAGTAGTAAGGTTTTGGAACTCATTTCAAAGCTGTTGCAGGTACAACATAGAGATTATAAAAACTGATTTAACTAAACTCGTAGGTAACTCTAAACGTTTATTTGAAGAAACAGAACGAAAAAACGTTTTAGGTCGGTATAAGCGAAGAGTACCTGGGACTGAATCAATGAGAATTTACTGAACATTTAATGTTCCCTTCGCTGAATTGAGCACTCAAGAAAATACAGTGAAATTTCAGACATGATTCTTGCCTTCAGGAAATTTAAAACGTTTGGAGAATGAGGGAAAAAATACTCTACATTTAAAAAATAGCACCATTAATTCTACACTTGGTTTCCTTAGTGCCACTTTCTCCTGCTTCTGCAACTACCTCTTTGATGCACTTTAAATATTTTTCTTCTTATGTGTGCCCTCTGTGTTTCCAAACTATCCATTTTCTTTTGTTGTTAGTCCTCGTCTCCTTGAGCAATCTCTTCCCCATGATGGACTTACCTACTAAGTATCCTGGGCACCATGGACTCCCAAATGTGTATCTTCAGGTTAGACACTTTTAAGCAACAGCATCTTCGTTTGGATTTCATATAGGTACTTAACTATGTCCCAAATTGACGTGGGCATCTTTACCATTCCCTATTCTTACTGCCGTATCTCTTCCCAACCATCTGGAACCTAGCCTGCTTTCATTCCCTATTTCAGATAATAGCACCCAGTTGCCCAAGTCAAGAATCCATGGGTACCCCGCTATTACATTTCCTTCATTTCCTCTATCCTAATATCAAATTCTGTTGACTCATCTCCTTAAGGATCTCTCAAATCCACCTCTCTTTTTAATCTCCATTCTCACTGCCTTAATCCATCAAGTAATCATCTCTCCTAACTCATCTCCCTTGACTATTGCAATAGCATCTAGTTATTTCCCACTCCAGTCCAACCTCCAGCCTATTAATAGTTTTTCTAACATGAAAATATAATCGTGATATTCCTCACCAAGATTTTTTCAGGGGCCCCCATCCTCTTCATGATCTGGCCCCAGACTGTTAATCTCATCTGCCATTCTTGCCCATTTACTCCACACTAGCTATACTGAACTCCTTGCACTTCTTTGATTCTACTAGGTTCTCTCAAGATCCTGTAGGTCTCAGTTGAGTACTTATTTCTTCCCTGGAACCTTTCATAACTTCCTGAGACAGACTTGCCCTTCTTTCACCATTTCTGGACTTATTTATATTATAACAATTATGTTGTACTATATTTCTTTGCAAATGTAACTGACAGAGCACTCTTGAAAAATAATTTGGACTGTGGATAATGAAGATTCATACTATCTCCCTTCCTCATTTCGAGATTATAGAAGAATGCCCAGTTCACCTTGCTCAAGAATTTGACTAAAGGCTTCCCTGGTGGCACAGTGGTTAAAAATCCACCTGCCAATGCAGGGGACACGGGTTCGATCCCTGGTCCGGGAAGATCCCACATGCCGCTGAGCAACTAAGCCCGTGAGCCACAACTACTGAGCCTGTGCTCTAGAGCCCACGAACCACAACTACTGAGCCCACGTGCTGCAGCTACTGAAGCCTGCGCACCTAGAGCCCGTGCTCTGCAGCAAGAGAAGCCGCCACAGTGGGAAGCCTGTGCACCGCAACAAAGAGTAGCCCCCACTCCCCACAACTAGAGAAAGCCCGTGCACAGCAATGAAGACCCAACGCAGCCAAAAATTAATGAATTAATTTAAAAAAATTTTGACTAAACCCTGACTGTACACTTTTTTAATCGTGTAATTTCAAACTTTCTACCAGTTCTTGGCATATTTAAGTACTGAGTTTTAAATGATAGACTTATAATAGGTCACAAGTTAAGCATCAAGAGGGCAGCCTGAAGCAAACATAGAAAAAAGGAAAACTGACAGTGCACTGCATTTTAGGGCAGGAGTTGCTCCTAGAAAACTTTGTAGTTAGAAATGTCACAACATAGGTTTTAAATGTATTGCCTCTGAGAATTACTGTTTGTCCTTGGGGGATATGTGTGTATGTTTGATTCAATAGTTATTTATTGGGTGGAACCAAATTAATAAAAATGTCTGCACCTCGCACTGGCTTGAGATCATGAAAGGGAGTAGAGTTGGAATGCCAAAGATCATCTTACACTGTTTGAATGAGGCCTACCCAAAGATTACATCATCAGCACCACCATACTTAAACGCCTCTTAACTATTATTCTGGAGTGATTATAACTCAGACTTTGGGAGATGTACCATCTTGAGGATATATTCACCCTGTCACTGATAAGTGGTAAGAGAAGCAATATTCTTTCCTGAGGAGCTGTGATCCAGTAGTTCCAGGAGGTAATCAACATCTAAAGGCGTGGCAAAGCATGAATCAGCTGGGTGAGGTAAAGTGAAATACAGTATAGAGAAATAGCTGAATGGCTCCCTCAGGATTGGATATGAGGCAGACTCCTTTTTTCCTAAATGCATCAAGGAAATATTGACAAGTGTTATTTTCTTAGTAAGCTTCTAGAGAGCAGGGACCGTATTTTTTCATTGTTGTATTTCCAGGCAATGAGCCTTAACTAATGTGTTCAGCGGATAGAGTGAAAAACTGGAAGTTTTGTTGATTTTTTAGAAAATAGAGACATCCGTGTGGACGAAAATTGTTGGGGAAAGCTTCTGTGGGAGATCAGATATGAGCTTCAGCTTGGAAGGTTCATAGGTAGGCATATTTGAAGGCACTGAGGAGGAAACATGTCTACTTCAAGAGCAAAGTTTTAGAAACAGGAATGAACAAGGCCAATGCAGGGCTATAATAGGAAGCCTTTATAAGTTCTTGAACAGGTTGTTTAGTTTGGAATTATATACAGAAGATTTGTAGAGGAAATTGTAGTTAGGCAAGAAGATGAGCTAAGCCAGTGCAATTCCAGAGAAATCTTCAGTCTGTGACTTGATGATGAGGCCAACCAGAAAAATCTAGTTACAGTCGACCACTTCCTCCTTGACTCACCTTCCAGTTTTTGTAACACCATCCTCTTTCATGGCTTTCCTCCAACCTCTTTGGTTGCTCCTTTTCATACTGTTTTCTCTTATACTTTGCAGTCTACTTTTATCTTCTAAATGAAGATAAATAATGTTCCACAGTGCCTGGTCCTGAGATCTCATTTATCCTCATGGTTTTAAATCTATTTCCCACACAGGAGCCAAAGTAGCCTATTGTAAATGTCAACGTGTTACTCCCCAACTTAAAATTGTTCAATGGCTTACTATTTACATAAAATAAAATCCAAATTCTTGCCAAGGCCTGCAGACCCCTGAATGGACTAATGATCTATCCTTACTTCCCTAACAGCATCTCATGCTATTCAAGGATTTTACATTCTTTATTCTCTTTGCCTGGAACAGTGGTTCTCAACTGGGGATGATTTTTTTTCTCCCAGGGGACATTTGGCAAAGGCCAGTACATTTCTGGTGGTCACAGTTAGGGTGGGGAAGGGGTGCCACTACTGGTATCCAGTTGGTTGAGGCCAGTGATGCTGCTAAACATCCCACAATGGACAAGACAGTCCCCCACAATAAAGAATTGTATGGTCCAAAATGTCAATAGTGCCAAGGTTGAGAAACGCTGACCTACAGCACCTTCCCCTGAGTCTCCAAGTGGCTGACTCCTTTTCATCCTTTATACTTTAGTTTTAGCTTCATCTTCTTGGAAAAGTCATCCTTGACCTAGAACTCCCTGCTTACCTCTATCACAGTGTTCTGTTTATTCATCTCATACCATTTTTCACAACATGTGATTATTTAGCTTATTTGTTTATTTGTTTATTGTCTTCCTCACTATCTAGGAAGAAGATCCCATGAAACACCTCTCTCTTGATCATCATTCTTTCTGTAAAGTCTAATACAGTGGCACAGAGTAAGCATCAGTAACGAGTTGTTCGACACCTGAATCTGTATCTACAATAAGTCACTGAATGGAAACTTAACAATAAGGCTTTCTTTTCTTCTTTTTCTTTTTTTCTGTAAAATTAAAATATACAGTTACCAAGAGTGAAGACACCTGGAAAGAAGTTGTCGTCACTAAGAGTGTCTTCTGGAAGGCTGCTGGTCTGCGGTCAGTATTCAGATGTGTTCCACGAATACCCTTCCTTCTTAAGTAGCTCCTCACAATCAGAACCAGAAGTAGAGTCATATTATGGCCAAATTAACTCATGTCTGTGAGATCATAAAAATCTGGAAGGAAAAAAAGAAATAAGGGAGAATAGAACCAAAAATGAGGTAAAATTATAATATTTTTGATCAAGTAATCTCTAAGTTTAGAAGACTTAATTTTTTAATATATGCACATCTAAAAAAAGCCATTTCAAAGATGTATTTAGAAGTGCCTGGTTATTATACATTTCAGTTATTTCAATTAAGAAAATATGTATTGTGGACATACATTGCTTTGTCTTTTCCTGCTTTTAGTAATCCACACCACTAAACCACAGGATGGGCACAACTCCTTGTGGGGCATTTCACCATTTTCTGGCTCTGGTGATTGGTATATGGGTGATTCATGCTAATCAGCATTCTTTCCCAGGAGTTTTCAAATTAGAGCTTACAGGAGAGATCCCTTTTTTCTCTGATTGCAAAGCTATAAAACTGTGAGCTCAGAGGTTCTTGTGGCAGTGTGCCTTGTCATTTATAGTATCTGGTCTGAAAGAATAAGGCAGAGATGGGGAGAGTGGGGAGAGAGAGGGTCCCTGAAGTTTCTCTATCCTCTTATAAAATAGGTAATTCAGGAATTGAGTGTTCTCTGGACTCTTCAAAGTTCTGCAGCATGACATGTTGTTAAACATCAGAAGATCAAATTCAATATCCGTGGCATCTCAGCCAGCTCTTCATTAGGCAAAACTTACATCTCAACCTTTCTAAGCCTCTTATATACTAGAGTCAACATTAGCTAGTTAACCAGTTAGTAGTTTAGCAAATAACCTCCTTAATTTTTGCTGACTTATTGTCAGCTTAGGCAATTTCATTACCTTTGTTTGTTATTTCACTTTGAAACGTCCTAATTTTCTTATCTGTAAAATTGGGATGAGAAATAATGCTTATATATGATGTCTTTTGATGATGCCCCAGATATAAGCAATTGTAAAGTCTTATACTGTGTTATTATGGCCATTAGTGTTGTTATTATGATTACCAATACTGCTGTCATCAATGATAACATGATGCTATAAGAACCTATGTATTGTTTTTCTTGCCATAATATGTATTTTATTACATGTATTTTATTACAATCTCAAAGATGCAGGAGGCTTTAGATTCCACCTGTCCAGCCTCCCACTCACTAAAGGATCATCCCTGCTGGTGGTTGTCCAACGTCTGTTCAAATATAGTGACAGTGATAGAAAACCTGATGCTTTGTGGGGCATCCTGTTCCTTTTTAAGACCTCTTTAACTATTAAGAAATTTTCATCACAGTGAGTTGAACTTCACCTTCTAGTAATTTCTACACACTGGTCTTATTTTCTGTCCTTTATAGCAACAGAAATCTATATTCTCTTTTCCATAAGATGCTATTGAACTTTGAAAACATCTTTTGTGTTTTCAAGCTAAAAGTACTCAGTTCTCTCAACAATTTTTTGAAGCCCTAGTAAATATTAAACTAATCCACTCATTCATTCATTCATTCATTACACTTCGCCTTATCCTACAAAGATTTAAAGTAAATTCTAAAAAATAAAATAAAATGAATTCTAGTATATAACATAAAACAATGGTCAAATGTAAGTAAGAAAAAGAATCAGAGCTATGGGAAATTAAAATACAAGTAGAATGTAAAGAATGAGAACTAAAGAACATAAATATGCATGAGCCCATGGTTTAAATTTATTTGACTTTGATCTAAAATCAAAAGTGAAAAAGAGGGCTTTCCTGGTGGCGCAGTGGTTGAGAGTCCGCCTGCCGATGCAGGGGACACGGGTTTGTGCCCCGGTCCGAGAGGATCCCACGTGCCGCGGAGCGGCGGGGCCGGGAGCCATGGCTACTGAGCCTGCGCGTCTGGAGCCTGTGCTCCGCGACGGGAGAGGCCACGACATTGAGAGGCCCGCGTACCACAAAAAAAAAAAAAAGTGAAAAAGATATTTAAGGTATCAGTTACAGGAAGACATTTTTCTGTCATCATCTAAGATGCTTTTTCCTCTATGTGGGCCTTCATCTAAGGAGGCTCTTACCTACGTTCACTGACAGTGGACTCATCAACATGCCCCTGGAAAATGCAGTAACAGTCTTCATAATCCATGAAACTGAATTCAGGATTCACTTTTGTTGTCAACTTCTGAAAAAATGTGGTGCCCAAAAATAAAAACAGGTTTTTGCAATTAGCTTGATTATGGTTTGGGGAAATTATTTCCTTTTTTGGTTCAGACACTGTTTTTATCAGGACAGTTTAAGTAAGATTGTTTTAACCTATTTTGTAGCTATGTCACTTTGTTAGCCAATATAAGTTTATGTTCAAAATACTAAATTTTTTGTTCCATTATTTTGTTTTTATGAATTGGCATTAAGCTGAGTTTCACAAATTTTAATGCCATTAGTTTTTTTGGACACAAATGCTTATATTGCCTCAGAACACAAGCATCTTCATCATCTGTTTCGTTCATTTCTTTAAAACATCCTATTAGGTTTTGAAGTTTTAGCCCATATTTCTTAAAATTCACTATTCTTCCTCAGTTTTTATATTGCCAGAATTAATTATATCTTCTTTGTCTGCAGCTAAATCATTGAGGAAAATGTTGATGAAGGCTGGATTCCTGACATTCAGCTCCAGCTGTAGCCCACGTTAACCCTCATGGCAGCATTAAAATTGTTTAGAAAGCCAAGTAGAGACCGTGTTTAAGGGCAACACGGTATCATAAAAGAGCATGGCCTTTAGACTTGGACAGACCTATGTTCAAATCCTGACTTTACCATTTATTGTTTGTGTGACCTTGAGCAGTTATTAACTACTCTAAAACCCAGTTTCCTCATCTATACATAGCAAGGTGTCCTAGCTAATCCCTAACTGGGTTACTGTTGACAGGATTAGTAGCATTGCCACCCCTGTGGGCATTTATTTGCATGTTTTTTTTTCTAGTAACGTTTTGTAATCTGAGAGAAAGAATGAAAGAAACAGATAGTGGAATTGCTTACGTTCAGAAGCAGCATAATATGATAGAAAGAATGGATGGAGAGTTATGGAACTCTTGCTCTCAAGGAGCTGAGCCTGTGGGAGGTCAGCTCACCTCTTTTAACCTCTTAATCCATAAAGGAAGGGATTGAGCCACGTGGTTCTAAACGCTGAAGATGTGAAATGGGGCCTTTTCCCAGTTGTTACTTAATTCCAAAATACACCACAAACTAAGTGTTTTATGCAAATTACATTATTTAACTTTCCTAACAACCATAAAATATTAATATTTGGATATTATTAATATCCTTATGTTAGAGACAGTGAAAGTGGGGTACCTAGTACAGTGTCTGGCATATAGGAGGCACTCAATAAGCAAACTGAATGACTAAGTAAAGGAACTTACCAGTTAAGTATGACGTCTGGTTACAGCCATGGAAATACAGTAGAGTAAGTAGGAATGAGGAAGGCAATATGTGCTATACTAACAGATCCAGAATTAAAGGCCGAAAACATCTAGGTTTTGATTGAAAGCCTAGGATTCACTAGGATTTTTGTGCATTAGTATAATTTATCTTTAATTTTTTTCAAAAACAAGTTTTATAACGTTTTATTTATACAATTCTTTAGAATCTTAGAGATAAAGAGGATCTGAGAGATTAGTTTGCTAAAATCCCTCACTGTACAGATGATAACACTTAAGCTCAAGGAGGTAAAGTTACCTAGGCTCATGCTAGACACTGATAGAAGCAATTCCTAGTCACAGAATTTTCCTGGTGTGAAATATTTTCCCTGAAATATTCTGAAAGTTTCATAGGAGATAGTACTCTTTTGTTTCTTAAAGTGCAATCAGATTTCTTCTATGTTCAAATACTGGTGATAAACATACTTGACACCTTTGTGCCCTTCTGAAAGACACGGGAAGGGGAACATAAGGAAGAAGTCAAGAGCACGTCACAGGAAAAGATGTTCTTTTTCTCAATTGTGATATCTGTGGTAGTACTCTGACTTTATGAACAACACTATGGCGTTTGGAAATTTACCAAACTTACTCTGTGACGTGTGTGTGCGTGCACACACACACACAACTATATATCTTAGACTGCCTTGTTTTTGAGGTAGTTCTTCAAGAAATACAATAGTAAAATAACACCATATCTTTTGCTCATAGCGTATTGGCTAAAGCCATGAACCCAAAGGAAGTTGCCCTGGAGAGCAATTTTCTTTGTAAAGATGACAAAAATATTCAGGGCACCATTGTTTTCAAGTTGAACTTCCTTGTTGAAATTCACTTCACAGTCAAAGGAAAAAAAGGTTTACTTTTTAATACAGTAATAAAATTGTTGGAAAATATTCAGTGATAGAAATAATTCAAAGAAGTATAGGTAAAGGCAGAAATTTTAGAGTATTTAATTTCTTTATTTCTTAACTGTTAGTGCTCTTGAGTTTTTTAGTCTCTTATCTGTAAAACAAGCCCTCAAACTGAAATTGTGCTGGAGAAAAAAACAAACCAACTCTTGGCAAGTAATATCCCTGGAATGTGTGTTAATGCCATTTTGTACATTTTTAAATCAAGGTTTTCTGATTAAATTGTTTTCTACAAGTTTTGTTCTGCTACTGTTTCAAATTCTTTTAATTCTGAATAACTCTTTATCAAATTAGTTATAATAGTTTTGATGTGATGGAGAAAAGCCATTCCACTTGCTATTAACAGTGCTGACATTTAAATTTTAAACAGCATTTAGTAGTAGGTACAACAGTAATTTTCAAACATTTTAGACTGCAACCTAGAATATGCAATATATTTTACATTGTGATCCAGTTTGCATGAACATATATATAAAGCAAAATCAGTAGTTTCCTGAAATAATACTATTTCTATGAGTGATATGCTCTGATGTTTTCTTTTCCCTTATTCTGTTTCATTTGAAAAGCTGCTGATCATAACCATCTAAGTTAATTTTTACACCACCTAACTGAACACAACTATAGGTTGAAAGACATGGACCAAGAGGTTTCTGGTGGAAGGAGCAATGTTTACTCTTTTTTTTTTTTTAATACAGTATGGAAATTTACCCCCTTCCAGTTAGGAAAGAATATTCATTTTGGTTTGATATTGTCACATTAAAATTTTTTACTGATTAAAGTAAAACTTCTTGATATTGTAAAAAAAAAAAAGCCTTTACTCTCTGGTTCCACATTTTATTAACATTACCCCAATTCAGAGTTTTATTTCTCTGTGGCTAATAAATAAGGTATACAAATTATATAAGGCTATATTTATATAGATATAGATAAATATTAAATCATGTACAGTATGTTGTGTTACCAGAAGGTGTGTGGTTTGTGCCCATCATCTGGATGATTGTGTTCTCCACTGAGATAGGAGAGAGAATAAGTTAGTGGGAGGAATGTTAGATCAGAAGCAGGACTCTTGGGTTCTAATTTTAGACATGCAACGTGAGACTGAGCCAGTTCCTTAACTTTTCTGATCTAAGTTTCTATTCTGTAAATGAGGGAATTGATCTAGAGTATTTCAAGATAGAGTCTAATTCTAAAGTGCTGTGATTCTAAGTAAATGGTTGTTTATTTAAACCAAAGAGAGTATTTCGTTACACTATTAACATAGTACTAGTGGGTTGTATTTGGTAAAATACAACTTTTTTGCTTATTCCTATTATATCTTAAATATTAATATCCTTTTGGTATGCTAACAAGAGGACACTTAAGTAAACATCAGGGTATGGATTTGTACATAGGCTAGTACATAGTAATGCATAGTCTAATACATTATGATAATTATGATCATTAACCCTAATTAATACATTATACATATATGCATCTAAAAACATGATAATTTTTCTGCATTGCTATGTGTCTTAGTCTGTTCAGGCTACTATAACAGAATACCATAGACTGGGTGGCTTATAGACAACAGAAATTTATTTCCCATATTTCTATAAGCTGGGAAGTCCAAGAGCAAGGCACTGACAGATTGGTGTCTGGTGAGAGCCTGCTTCCTGATTCATATTTGGCTATGTCCTCTCTGTGTACTCACATGGGGGAAGGGGCAAGGGAGCTTTGTGGAGTCTCTTTTACTAATCCAATTCATGAGGACTACGCCCTTATCACTTAATCACCTCCTAAAGGCCCCACCTCCTAATACTATCACATGGAGGTTAGGATTTCACCATATTGATTTTAGGGGGGCCATGCACATTGTCTATAGTATTATGATAAGTTTAATGTGTTTTTAATAGATTTTGATGAGTTTGTGAGGAAACTTATTGTAATTAACCATAAATTATATCTACATCTCTTTCTATGCATCATAAGTAAAGAATGTTTTTTGAATAAATGTGGTCCATGTTTATGTTTGACTTTATGTACCAAAATAGCAACTGAGCCTAGAGTGCTGTATGGCTCAGAGACAGCCTTGCACAAGAGGCCTGGAACCTGAGGCAAATCAGTTGTGTTACAGAACCTTCATTAGCTCCAATTTTTCACATAGGTAGAAGTAAGGTAAAATAAATATTAGGAACTGAGTTTAAAATTAAGCTTAGAAAGTATTCCTGCTTTTTCAAGATAAGTTGGAAAAGAAAAAGTTATTTCAGGTTGATTGTATTTAAGTGAATTTTCCATTATGTTAGCATCAGCTCACAGAGGAATCACCTCCTTTCCATGCTTATGACTACCAGATGCCTAATTTCTTTAAGCAACATGGAAACCCACCAGAGAAGGGGACTTGGGGTGATTGTTTTTATTCATTGTACTCTAGAGATGACTGTGCCAAAACATTAGGATTCTGGGGCAACATACTTCCTGATTTGAAATATTCCAAACAGTTATTTAAATGAAAAGCCATTTTAGTTTAAAAAAAAAAAAAGAAGGATTATGTAGCCATCTGTCCATAGGAACTCCTTTCTGATTGTATAATGTATTTTCTAAAAAGGTAGTATATACTGATCAAGGAAAGTATCCACTATATCGATTTTTTAAAATTCTCAAGTGACCTACAAAATATGTGAATGCTCACAAGAAATAGTACTATTTTAGCAAGATCCTAAAAAGTCTCCCTTAATTGCAGTTTTGAGTCTGGAGAATAGAGCTGGCACAAGCTTATCCTAAAAAGTAGTCAGGCCACATTAGTGTTTCTGATTATGTATGTATTTAATATACTCATTGCGCCAACATATATTAGCTCCAAATCAGGGTCAAATATATTTATCCCAAAGCAGTTCCAGTGTAACCTCTAATCTAACTTCATTCTAAATGCCTTTGCTTTCTTACTGTGTGATAATTTTTTATTTTGTTAATAATAATAGCTAACATGTATCAAGCATTTACAATGTATTCAGTAATATAATGTATAATATATAATTTTTAAGATAGATACTAGTATTACCCCCATAATTAAGGTACATTTAATGAACTTTTATTGTTCTTTACTATATACCATGCACAGAGGATACAGTAGTTAATAAAAAAGCAAAGTCTCTACCCTCAGAGAACATTCATTCGAGTGGGAGAGATAAATAATAAAGGAATAACTACATACATTATGTGTGGCGGCTACATCTTGTGGATCTTAACGTAGTTGTCTGAGGGCCCCAGTTCTACTCCCTCTGACCTCCATCACTGCATTCTTGCTGAGCCTGCCTTCCACAGTCTGCTCCCAGCCACTGAGGGACCATGACAGTGACCCTAAGGCAGACTCGTTTCTGGGAAACACCGGACCTCTCCTACAGGTGACTTGGGCTCACAGATCCTCCAACAGCCTTGCTGAATCTTCCCTAGACTGCTGGGCAGTCTAGAACATATCCATGCAGTTCCATCTGAGGTCCCTTGGGTCTCTCCCAGCCTTTCTTTGACTCTCTCCCCGCCTTTCTTTGACTCTCTCCCCATTTTCTCTCATGTGGGCAATTTTCCTAATAAAATTTTTGCAGGTTTAACCCCATCTTGGCATCTACTCCTCAGAGGACCCAGACTAACACATTATGTTAGGGAGTAATAAGGGCTATAAAGGAAAAATAAAAGCACAATAAGGGGTTATAAGTGTGCTCTCTTAAGGGTAGTCAGGGAAGGTCTTAGGCAGAAGTGGCCTTTGAAACACATAAATAGTTGGAGAAAACTTCCAGAGTGAAGTAAATTGCTTGAGATTATATTACTAATTTGTGGTAGATTAGCAGATAGCTGGCACATTTAAATACAACCGCTTTAATATGCAATTTATAAGTGCGTGTTGATAAAGAAAATGTAATGAGAGTTATCTATTTTGGGTGACAATTCACATTAGACAATTGATATACATATAACAAAACTTCTTCAAAGGGGGTAAGGAAAATGCTCTAGAAACCATAAAATATCACAGTTATTTCCTTTCGGCCTGCTTCATTCTGGCCTTCCTTTTTTCCCCCTGTTCTTTTAGATTTATTTTGCTAGTGCTGCAGCTTCTATACCAATTCTTCAATTAGTAATTGAATTTACCTTTTGTCCTTCTGACTCTTTCCAATTCTGTTTCCTGAGCTGTCGCCATCTCCTACACTGCCTAAGTTGTCATTGAAATGTGCTTCAAAATATTACACAATCCAGAATAATAAGCACATTGTTTTTGAAACTGAATTGTAACCGCTTAGAAATAATTTTTCCCCCCTCTTTGCCCACATGTACCAAATCTTCCTATTGAAATCACATTATATTGAGAAGTCAGAGAAAGTTTATATCCTGAGTTGAAATCTAGTTCTTTTATTTAAGGAATTCAAATAGGGACGTACCCTTTTATTTATCTAATAATACTTCAACGTGTAAGCCATTGAAATTCTTACACAATTTTAATTTTTCTTAGTTCTGAAAAGTTTAACTTTTTTAAGCATTATAATTTTCTAAAAATCCTTTGATATATTTGTGAAGTGCTTTGATCAGTTAGTTTGGAATAGATTCCCCTTGCTTGCTCTTTTGGCAAAAGCCTGGCACTCTTCCACCTTTCATAGAAAGTGAACTGCCCTTCTTCCTACAGAATAGAGCATGTGGAGGTTGAAAGTATTTTTCATAAGAAAAGGGGCATTCAGAGCAATACTTTCCTAAGCTTAATAAAAAGCAGTTGTGGCTGGGAAACTGCAATGATGTCATGTAAGTTTTATCTTGCATAAGCAGCAGAGTGAGGAAATTCCAGAATTAATAAGTCGGCTGGTACAGCTGTGCCCTGAGTTGGAAAGTTCAGGATGTTCTTTCACACTCATGACTAGACATTCTGCTCCACTTTAGCCTTTGTGAGAATAATTGGCTCCCTCCATTTCCACGCTGCTAAAACATTTATAAATTGGTCTATTTAGAAAATGTAAAATTTTAAGTGGATAAATGGTCATTTTGACTAAAAATTATTGTCCATATTTGCCTTGATTTTGTAATAACTGATAATTAGTTATTTTAAGTTATCTAGTCCTTTCAAATATTGAGTTAAGAAATGGAAAATACCAGCCTTGAGAAAATTGAAGGGAGTGGAGAGTTAAAAGCCAAGAATGAGGACTTCCCTGGTGGTCCAGTGGCTAAGACTCCTCACTCCCAAGGCAAGGGGGCCTGGGTTTGATCTCTGGTCAGGGAACTAGATCCCGCATGCTGCAACTAAAAGATCCCGTATGCTGCAACGAAGATCCGCGTACCACAACTAAGACCTGATGCAGCCAAATAAATACATAAATATTAAAAAAAAAAAAAGCCAAGAATGATCTAACTATTGCTGTAGTTGTTAATGCAGACCTAGTGTTATCCAGAAAACAATTGGCCAGCTGATCATCAAGAAATTGGCAAAATAAAATAGGAGATAAAATTTTATGACCCAGAAGTCAGTCTGTTGAACAGTATAATGGAAATTCTTCTAAAGTTTTGAAAAGTTGAAAACATTTTCATTTAAAGGAATGTTTTTGGAGTGTTATCACACTAGATGATTTCGTTCAGCCTTATGGTTAGTGTTGTGCATTTCTGTCCTCTTTATTTCTTCTTCTTTCTCCCTTCTTTGCCCCTTACAGGGGAAAGAAAAAAAAAAGTTTACATCGATCAGAAGTGTGCACAATGCTGAGCAGAAACAAGCAGGTTTAATCAGAGTATGCTTTTGTGTTTCTCTGATTTCATAATTAAACATGCACATTGCTTGTTTGAAAGTCTGAAAGTTCAACTTTTTATGATTATGAGTGCCTGAATGACTTTAGAGGGTGACTCTAAAATTACTCAATTTATAGCTATATTTTCCCAAAATTAATATAATGGAGATTTTTTATTATTTGTCTAGACATAATAAAATAGTTTAAGGCTGAAATTATTCTGAAAGAGAAGTTATGAACCATGAGTTCTTAGAGCATTTATTTTAGAGCCAGACTCACCTATTTCTTCTACTTTAGAGCTAGAATTAAGCTAGTCACCTTAGTTCTCTGAGGCTCAATTTTCTTATATAAAATGGAGATTATAATACATTTCTCACAGGATAATCATGAAAATAAAATAATTTTTAAAATATAGGGAATTCCCTGGTGGTCCAGTGGTTAGGACTCAGTGCTTTCACTGTGGTGGCCTGGGTTCTATCCCTAGTTGGGTAATTAAGATCACACAAGCCATGCAGTGCAGCCAAAAAGTAAAATAAAATAAAATAATACACATTAAATAGCCTTTATAAACCAGTGAGTATAGTGCTTGGCATTTAGTAGTCCATCAGCAAATATTATTTTCATTCATTTACTTTTTCTTTTAATTTTCTTTCTCCTTTATTTCATTTTTCATTATACAAATGTGGGTGGAAAAAATGCCACAGTCTTTCTGCTGTTCTAAAAAGCCTATCATATTTCTTCAGACTTTGAAAGATTTAGCTGCTTTTTAGGTCAGTGGAAAACCCATCCAAAATTCCTTTCAAATTCTAATTGTGTAGCAACCAGATTGTGAAATTTGGCATTTCTAAAGGTGTCAGACAACTGAATTAGAATTAATAGATACTTCCAGGAAAGGAAGAAATATGATAGTGAGCAGAGGGCTATTCCATCATTTTCTAACCAATCTTAAAAAAAAACTTAAGATTTCCCCTTTTAAAATTTTCCTTTATGATGTGGAGAATACTGTTCTATAACTAACATATTTAATTGCTGGCCCCTTTTTGGTGGTTGACAGAGTGGTGACACTGAGCATAGAGTTTAACTATTTGGAGATAGTTAAAATAATGCAATAAAATTTCAGTTTAATGAAAAGTAGTAACATTTCAAATTGCTAATAAAGAACTAAACCATTTCATCAAAATGCATAATAGAATATGACTCATTTTTTATTTATTAAAAGATTAAAATGAACCAAAAAATGGCACGATGGGACCCTCATATCTAGAGTTATCGTAGATGCCAACATTGTTATTTTAAAACAGGTAAATACCAAAACATAAATAAAACTAATATATCTTTTTTTTAATATAACTTTATTTATTTATTTATTTGTGGCTGCTTTGGGTCTTTGTTGCTGCACGCAGGCTTTCTCTAGTTGCGGCAAGCGGGGGCTACTCTTCATTGTGGTACGCAGGCTCTAGGCGCGCGGGCTTCAGTTGTTGTGGCGCATGGGCTTAGTTGCTCCTCAGCATGTGGGATCTTCCCAGACCAGGGATAGAACCCGTGTCCCCTGCATTAGCAGGCAGATTCTCAACCACTGCGCCACCAGGGAAGCTCAAGGTATCTTTTTTTTGTTTTTTTGTTTGTTTTTTAATATTTGAATTTTATTTTATTTTTTTATACAGCATGTTCTTATTAGTTATCAATTTTATACATATTGGTGTATATATGTCAATCCCAATCTTCCAATTCATACCACTACCACCACCCCCGCCACCCCCGCTTCCCCCGAAACTAAGATATCTTAAAGATATACTTTAGATTATACAAATTCTCTACAGTGATAATATGCATAAGTAAGATACTGTTCCTTTCTAGGCACTGCATTTTTCATAAGCAAATTTGTAAAGACTAGAAGATGATCAAAACAACCACCAATTTCAACATTACATGCAGATTCTTTTGTAAGTATGTGATGTTGCTACACAGCATTTTCATTACTCTGTTATACACTTTCCTTCTTCCAGTCTCCTAAACTTAATGTGGTAGATAGTTTTCTATGGATAAGACATTTCTTCTGTGGTATAAACATCTATCACAGAACTTTTAACTGAATTGAAATGGGAAGAATTGATATTTATGTCTTACCAGTTCCATGGCATATATTTCTTCAACCATATTTTAAGATATATCTATAACTTTATATTAGTTTGAGTCTTTTATACAAATATATTAATATATTTCATGATAGATATATGCTATATTACTCTCAAATGCTTTTGTGTTCTTCCATTTCTTGTTTTTATTTGTGTTTTAGGCATATACTCCCTCGTGCTTAAGGATTTGAGCAGAATTTAAAGATTCAGCAAAGAAAGCTGCCAATTCAAATTACACACTCTCTTTTCCCCCCGTCGTATACATATATTTATTTGTATGTATACTAGCATGTATTTTGTTATTACTCTTCTAAAAATGCATACATAAAGTTGAACCTAATCAACATACAACATTGTGGAACTTGAATTCCAAGCATACCTTGATCATGAAAACTGCAATAGTATGACGTTCTTTGAGTCATTGTCTCTCAGTCTCCTTGACTTAATACTAAACAAAAATAATAACCCAATTGAACTCTGGCGAATGCCATCTGGAACAATTACCTAATGATTCAAAGCACGTTGAAAAATACAAAGCACTTTAGAAATTCTAAGAACGACTAATGAAAAGACTTCATCTAGACAAGTTATTTTATCATGGAAGCTTGTCAGAAAAGAAGAACCCAACCCTTTTCTCCATCAATAATGTTTGTATATCAACTTCCATAGCTTTCATCCCTTAAATAAAACTCTGAATTAATCTAAATATCTTGCACTATATTTTGATTCTAGATCCATTTGAAAAACTTATTCAGTAATAGCTTATATTAAAGGCAAAAAAGATGAAACCCTTTGTTGTCAGTAACTTTTCTGGACTTTCTCATTGAAAAGGCTGGATTGCTTAGACCAGGTGAAAACAAGATTATGAATAAAGACGAATGACTTAAAAGGTTTTAAAATAAGATTTTTAATTATTTATTAGATTTTGATCTGAGATTGAAATTAAATGTCATAAAAGGAAAATTGCTAAATTGCTATTAAATTATTGCTACTAATGAAGAGTGTAAGTGGCTTTGCAAGTAAGTAGAATAATAAAACAGCAACATTCACGTTTACAGGTTTTTGTGTCACATACAACTTTCTTTTCATAGGTCTTCTGATTCCGGTATGGTGGTATCCTCTGTAGGTTCAGTTGTTACCACTATAGGAATATTCTCAGATATCCATCCCTTAGGAGTCCTATTAAAGGACCGTCTTCCAGAAAGAGGATTGGCAAAGGCCATGAATCTGGGATCTGTTAGAAGTAGTAGGTCAAAATCTGGAACCTTAAATTTAACCATTTTTGATGCTTTTTCAAAACCTCCAAATGGGGTGGCAACTCTGTGAGAAATGAAAAGAAAAAGAATAAATTAATTAATATTCAAATTTATTTGACAGAAAATAGAAAACAATTTAATGCATGGTCTTATGGGCATGTTGTTGTGTTATATTCTTAGTAGGGTTTCAGTTTTTGACCTCTGAGGCAAGCATTTCCATTCAAGGACCATGCCTTTATGATAAAACAGATATTTGATAATAAATTGGTGTAAAGTCCTTATGTACGTACTCTTAGTTTTGGACTGAACTAATCTGTTCCCTGGACATCACAACATTTCTTGCCTTTGTGCCTTTGCTGACAATGTTATACTTGCTTAAGATATTTCCTCTGTGCCTCCTCTCCACCAGCCCTCACTCCCTTTCTTAACCAAATTCCTGTCACGTTGATTGTCTTATGTGAGTCATTAGGTGCTTATAATATGGTACTTTGTATTGTTAGCTTCTCTTTTTCAGAATACGATTTTGTTTGGGTCATCTGTGAATTATAAGCTCTTCTAAGGCAAGAGGTATATCTTTGCATCTTTCCACCTTTATCTCAAAAACCTCAGAATCCTTCTACTCATCTGAATACAGTCCACCTTCCTTACCTTGGCATCCAAGGTCCCATGTAACATTCTAGCTTCGTTTGATTTAGCCATTAATTATTCATTCACTCAGTGCCAGGCACAGTTCTAAGTGCTGGGGTTATACCAGAGAACAATGTAGTCAAAGTCTAAGCTTTCATATTCTAGCGAAGGAGACAGACAATTAAAAAACATAAACAGAGTCATACAGAGTGAAGTAAGTCAGAAAGAGAAAAACAAATACTGTATGCTAACACATATATATGGAATCTAAAAAAAAAAAAAAAACAGGTCATGAAGAACCTAGGGGCAGAACTGGAATAAAGATGCAGATGTAGAGAATGGACTTGAGAACACGGGGAGGGGGGAGGGCAAGCTGGGACAAAGTGAAAGAGTGGCGTGGACATATATACACTACCAAATGTAAAATAGATAGCTAGTAGGAAGCAACCACATAGCACAGGGAGATCAGCTCGGTGCTTTGTGACCACCTAGAGGGGTGGGATAGGGAGGGTGGGAGGGAGTTGCAAGAGGGAGGAGATATGGGCATATATGTATATGTATAGCTGATTCACTTTGTTATAAAGCAGAAACTAACACACCATTGTAGAGCAATTGTACTCCAATAAAGACGTTAAAAAAAATAGAAATTAAAAAAAACAACAGTGGATTACAGATGAAAAAAAACATGTAAGTCAACTGTATGTCAATAAAAAACTAATAAATTTTAAAAAACATAAACATATAGACAAATATCCAATAATGAAAAGAGCTATGAGAAGATTAAAATAGGATGATATAATAGGGCACAGCTGAATGACTGGATAGGTAGAGAAGACATCTCTGAAGAGGTGACATTTAAACTGCCATCTGAAGGTCAAAAGTTAGCTATGGACCGTATGCCTGAAGCACTTCAGCATTTCAGGTAGAGACAGTAGCTAATGCAAAGAATCTAAAGCAGAAATAATGTTGATCTTCTCAGGAAAAGAAAGAAGGCCTATCTTGTTAGACAGGTGAGGGGGCTGGCAGAAAGGAGAGAGGACAGAGAGGTAGATTGTGTGGAACTTTGTCCAATAAGGAATATGGATTTCATTCTAAGTGTGAAAGGGAGCCATCATAAGGTGTTAAACAGGGGAGTGATAAGTATAATCTGATTAAATTTTTATAAAGATCACTCTGGCAGCTGTTACTATGTGAACAATTATAGGTGGACAAGAATGGAAGAAGGGAAGATATTGTAGCAATTCAAGTGAGAAATTATGGCAGCTTGTATTTCAGGTGTTTTCCTTGAAGAAGTGGGTGGTTTCAAGATGTGTTCTATGGGTAGAGTCAACAGGATTTGCTGACAAATTGGATAAAAATTGTGAGAGAAATGTAGAAATCAAGAATTACTCCTAGGTTTAGAGTTTCAGCAACTGGCTGATAGAAGACAAAGAGGAACAGGGTTGGTGTACGTGTGGAAAAAATTACCTTGACATCCCAATGGAAAGGTCCATGCTGGTTTTTCCCTGTTCACTTTCATATACTATTTGTTCCAGTCAAACTGATACACTGCTTGCTCTTTTCCTTATGCTTTCCAACCTCATTGCCTTTACAGATATTCATTTTTCTCTGCCTGGAGTGCTCTGACTCTTATTACTACATTTCTAAATCCCCTTTAAGTTCTTTAAGTTCTAAATATGTTATATAAGTAATTTAAGTATTTACTAATTTAACTTTCTTCTTGAAGCTTTCCCTGATCTTCCACAGCCAGAAGTAAGCTCTTTCTCCCCTAAGTCTCCATGGTCTCTATTTTAACCTCCCCTGTAACCCTATTTTCCATCTTTCATTATATCCACTGGTCTGACTGTTGTATTTCTTACCAGCCTGCACTCCAAGAGGACCGGAATTCTCTCTGATGTATCTTTGTAACTTACTCAATATATGTACTTGTATGATGTATTGTACCTAGAAGATTCTTATAAACGTTTAGACAATGGAATTGGCAAGACTATATAGATTTTCCAGTATTGCAGAGACTATTTTAAAGCCTGGAAGAGATCTGATTTTCTTCAAAGCTCAATCACCTATGATCTTTCTTGAATATCTTAATTTCTGGGTGATAATAGTGAGGGACCATGGAGTCTGATAAAGTAAGGAGAAAATGATTGATAGACTTTGAAAAGTGAGATGGCTTTGATGTGTGGAATTGAAACATTATTGAAATAAAGAATAAATGAAAAATAAAGATAAAATGTGATAGAGAGTGGGATGCTTGAAATTGAGATTTTGAAGGTAATAATAGGTATTGGTAGTGATAAACTTTAAGAAAAGCCAAGAGTGACTAAGGTGGGATTGAGAGACGGATCCTTAAAAGCAAGACAGTGAAGGACATGAAAGGGCCGAGAGTTCAGTGGGTTATTTACGTGGATACTTAAGCCACCAAAAAGTGATGACAGGAATAGTACTGGGGAAGAAGAGGGAAAGCCAGATAAGATCTTCAGTGTCCACAGAGTGGATAGGTGACCTCAACAATGGCTGTAGCAGATGTAACTGTGTCATATAGTACAGAATCTCATGTCTTCTTGGCCCATAATTTTCTTGTCTTCCAGTGTTTTGCTCCCTTCTGAAGAACAGTATGTTTTACTTTCTATTGCATCTGTTCTCCAGATAACTGACCTTGTAATATTTTCCCCAAATTGCTGTGGAAGATATGGATAAAAACAGATCACTGACTGATGCAGTAACCTCAGTCTAATGTAGTATTTCAGCAATCATATCAGTATAGACTTTCACATTCCAGGGCCTAAAACCATTACTCTGGAGGTGAGAGAAATTGTTTAGGAAAATAACTTTAAGAATTTAGATCATCAGTCAGGTGCTTTATGACTGTTAAACTTCAGAAGGCATAGTAATAAAGCTAATATTTATTGACAGGGTACTGTGCACCTGACACTGTTTTAAGTGCTTCTCAAACTCTTTTGGTATAGGAATCACCTTGGGATCTTGTTGAAGTACAGATGCTAATTCAGTCAATCTAGTGTGTGTCCTGAAATTCTGCATTTCTAACCAGTTCCCAGGTGATGCCAGCACAGCTGGTCTGACCACACTTTGAGTACCAAGCTTTACATGATTGTCTCATTAAATTCTCACAACAAACTTATGAGTTGATTCTTTTTATATCCCCATTTTATGGATGAAACTGAAGCACAGATAGTTAAATGACTTTCCCAAAGTCACCCACCTAGTAAGGTGTAGAATCAGGATTTAAATCTAGGCATCCAAATTCACTGAAGGCCTTCTCTTCTATACTACTTTATATCGTACCCGCACAAGATAATTCTTAAGGAGTATTGGGCCTTCTCAGATCACTTTCTAAGTAGAGCAGTATATTTAGGAATCTCAACCACTTGTCTGTGTCTAAATGGTGTCAAACCAGGTTGCTATCACATTCGTGATGTAACTAGGTGATTAATGTCCCACATTTTGTTACATGATTTAGTGAACTGAAGAGTCTTTATGACTCAAATTTGACTCAGTACATAAGTAAAACTTATTCTTGGATGTCCAAGATGTCCAAGACAACATTTTGTCATTTTAGAAATTTACCACTGTAAAGCAATAGTTTGTTCGTTGATTCATTCATTTATTCATCTAACGAATTACTGATTGCTTATTATATCTAGATACTCTGCTATATGCTAGGAATTCAAAGATTGTAGTAGGTCTTAATCTCAATGAACTCACAGACAAGAGAAGAGTAAAACGTGAGGGGGGAAAAAAACACATACGGACCAATGTAGTTACTTTAAGGGAAAAATTTCCTGAATACAGAGGAGCTTAGGGTAAAGTTTAGAACCTGGGATCAGGACCCACCACATAATTTTGTAGGGCACAGTGCAAAATGAAAACTCGAGCCCCTTTGTTAAAAAATTGTTAAGAATTTCAAACATTAAAACAAAACATTAAACCAGCCATGGTCTTTTTAATTGTGGGGCCTCCAGCAATTGCAGAAGACATACATTCATTTGCGGGAGTTTAAGAGTATAGATATCCATTGGATACAAGAGGCTGTAGTTGAGCATTTCTAGATTTAGGCTGAATTTGGTCAATTAATCTTGTATTTATTAATTCCAGTAATCACCTTTACTTATTTATTTATTTTTTTTCTGAATTAAATGAAAAAAGAAATGTTCCCGTGCCACTGAAATCCAATATTTGGGTTTGGCATTTAGTGCATTAGCTTTTCCCTTTTTATCCAGTTCTGTTTTGTTTTTCCCACCCAATTGGTGGGTCATTTTCTTCTGTAAATGAAAACATTCCCTTCTGTTCATCACCCATCTCCTACCTCCTACCGCTTATCCAGTGAAAGGTTGCTCTTTGAAAAGCAGTTTTCTTTTCTTTGGCACCATTGAGACTATATCCTGTTTAAATTTTTATTGCCCTCGGACACAAAGTAAAGAAAATCTTTTAACAGAGATGTTAAGCATTCAAAGTGAGAGACTATTTGTAAGATTTTTAAGATCTCTGAAAATAGTTTCAAGTTTTAGTTAGTGAAGCAAAAAATTCCACTGAAAGATTTGGAATATTCTACTAAAAGATCACTGTGCATCTCTGTGATTCCCATAACATAATTTCTTCAAACATAGATCTGACTTAAAATGATTTTTACACTTTATCGTCTATGTAGTGACTAACAAGCTTGTTTTACTCAGATTCAGTTAATATATGAATCTGTTTTGTTGTTTTGTTGTTTGTTGTTGTTTATTTCAATTGATCAATAATTGGTTTGCATTTGTAAAAATTAATAGTGCTGGACATATAAAACACCCATAATAATTACTGATTATTCTATAAGGTAAAAAATTATGTAAAATGGTTGTATAGAAGTTAAAATAAATTGCTCTACTAAATAGATAACGCATGTAATATATTTAAAGGTACTTAATCATATAATCATACAATGTATTTACAGATGATGCAATTAATACAAGGAAAGGTTAAGTGACATACCCAAAGTCATACAGCTTTTTGAAGCAGAGCTGGAAACCTCCTTGCTCCTAGTTTACTTTTCCTCACATGTTACACAGGTTTAATATAGTGTTATTTAAATATAACATAAATATTTAAATATCTCAAAATGAGTATAAGAATACAAAGTTGTATTAAACTATGGGCTATTTTGAGATTATGATTACACTTGGGAGCCCATTCTCATCTAGTCATTACCACTGCTGAAGGCTGTAAGACTGTATCTCACTCTTACATGCTTTATTAACAATATCTAGTAATTATGTATAATAATATGGGGCTACCAAAGAGCATTATTTTACTCTTTGCAAAAGACTTTGAGAATATTTGGAAACTACTTATTTCCTCCCCCTTCCTCTCCCTGTCTCTGTTCTCATTTGTTTTTACAAAAAGAAAAAAATAGATATATTAAAATAAAATTTTCTCAGGTAAAGGAGAACTACTAGCAAGTTAAGTTCTCTCCCCCCCTCCTTCTCTCTCTTTCACACACACATACAGTGTTACATTTACAAAAGCCTTGATTTAACACAGGGAGCTACATTTCCTAATTATATAGTATTGTGTTCATTGTTATAGCACTCACTTGGTCTTTATACAATCAATAGGCATCTCTTTATAACCAACCCAGATACTATAGTGTGTTTGTAGAACTGGAAGCAAGCTGCTCAGCAGGTATGGGGTACTGAAGCCACAAGGTATACAGAAGTCATATGGCATCTCTAAAGCACTAATCTCAAAAACAAGCCTCAAGTATTCCATTAGTTTCCATTTCTTCCTAGTGTTTTACTTTTATAATTTTCTACATTCTCATTTTTGAAAAAAATTATATCATTGATTAGAATAGGCTTTCAACATCCTTTCTTTGCCACGCCTCAAACCCTCCTTAAATTCTATGATATACCTCATTTATGCAATAGATGTAGTACTAATACTATTAGCATTACTAATAATGCTAGTAGTACTAGGTGTAATACTAGTAGATGTATTACTAATAATAGATGTAGTACTCATACTATTACTATAGCAATATGTGAGAACTAAATTGTTACTAGTACAATAATTTGAAAAGTACTAAGGAAGGTCACTATTTAAATGCAGACTTTGTGGCATTCTTTTGTAAATCAAAAATGTACTCCTTAATTTATTAATTTTTAAGTGAATAATCACTAAGTGGCCTATAAATTGAGTGGGTGTGAGACAGGATACCAGAGATATTTTGCTCTAAAATGAAAATCTAGTGGTCAAAGAATGGATTATGAGACCATTAAAAATATATGGAAATTATAAAAAATGGATAACAGGGGAAAATAAATGTCCATTGTGTAAACTATAATGCAGATATTATTTGGCAGTATTTTTGGTAGCATAAGTATTGGTGTGTATATGTGCTGGAGTCTTGGCCCTAAATTACCTTTAATCTGGTTTAAAGCCTACGCAAATATAAATTGGAACCTAGAGTTAGATGGTAATTCTCACAGTCCTGCATGCAAATTATTTCTGAAATTCTTGAACAGCATTGTCATTTGGAGCAACACATAAACTAATATCAACCTTCAAATTAGAAATTATTAGAAATAACATTTTAAAATGTGGGAGATGATCTTAGTGATTGTTTCTGTATTATAGCATTCATTGTTACACTAAAAAGGGACTAAGGTTTGACATATTAATAATATTGCAAAAATGAGTCTTTGCTATTTAGAGTCTTTAAAAAAATTTTTTCTACCAGAAGATTCAGTTCTCCATACCATGATATAAAAGCCTTGGTATTGCATGCTGAAGTGTCACCCAGGATAATTGAATTACCTGTTAAAGCTCCTGTAATCAGGCAGTTCTGCCTTTCCTTCAGGCTTGAAAAGTTTAGGGTATAAAGCCTCTAAAAGCTCCGGATCATTGCTAATGGCCTGTTCCCAGGGTGACTGGTAGTACTTAGGGACAGCTGTGGTGTTGAATCTTTCAGGAGGAATTTCCTTCAGTGGTCCAGAATATCCTTTGGAAAAATATTGCAAGAATAAGTAAACACAGAGTGCCTAAGAGTTACTAAACTCCACCTAACATTTTCCCATGTTTAATTTTTCATGCAGGGGTAAATTTATGAAGAGTGCATTCTTTTTATGATCTCTCAGAAAAGAGTAGTCTGAAAGTGTGAGACATTTTTAAACCCCTTTTAATTCATGGAATTTTCAAAAGAAACCACTTAGTGTTTAATTTTACCAAATCATAGTTAATTTTTTCCTTGACTATCTTAGTATGTATTTGTTCAGTGAAACTATTAACTTAATTTTTTAAAAATTGTGCCTCTTATATTAATTTATACTAGGCCTTATATACCACACTTAATGGATTAATTTAGAAATGTAAATTGAGTGTCTACTGTGGTCTAGGTTCTGGGGAAATATCAATGAAGACAAAATCTCCCTCCTCTGGAGCTGATTCTTTAGAAGTAACGTTCAGGTGTTGACTATCCTAAATTTCTGAGTGGTCTGTAAAATGTTCAAGCTTCAAAATGGTGAAGGAATTTGTTTCCACTGTCTTAATCAGGCCCTTCTTATTCCCTGATGTGTCCATCCCTTGTTTACTTTGTTCCTGAGGATTTCTAACTTTTCTTCTTCCAGTCTCACCTCCTCAATTTATTTTCACATGAGCTAGAAATTTTCTGTAAGTACCATTTAAAAGTCACACAAATTCCTGGCATAAATGTGAAACCATTTTCACATGCATTAAGTGACATTCTTCAAGTCTTCAAAGGCACAGCTGTTTACTCTCCAGCTATACTACCATACCACCTAGTTATGTCTTTCATATAATTCTCTATTCCACCATGTCAAAACCTCTACCATGTGATCACTCCTACTTTGGGGTTTCCCTGATGCTCTTTTCCTTCTCTAAAATGTTTTCAGTTTTCTTCTGTCAAACCATGCCTATCCTTTCTTTACACTAAAAATTACTTTTTCTTTTCCAAAAACTCTTGATAATTTCACCAGTAGACAGTTATTTTTTGCAGTAATTTAATTTTCTTCTGATTGTCTCCGGTATCAAATGGTAGTCTCTTTGGTAAGCTGCTTCTCTCCGCTTGCCACTTAAATGTTGGTGTTACCCAAAGCTCTTTTCTTAGACTATACACTGCCTAGAAAATTTCATTTATATTCTTGGCTTTAACTGTGACCTACATATTGACGATTCCAAGGTTTGTTTTTGATCTCCAGGCCCTTCTATTCAACCACCTATTATATTTGTCCAAATTAATACTCTCCTGGCACTCTTTATAACCTATCTAGACCTACATGTATCCGTTTTCCAATACATGCTGCTTCTTTTTGTATATTGGTCATCTTAGCAAATGTTATTACTACCCTCAGATGTCCAAGACAGAAGCACTGTCCTAAACAATTCCTCATTCCCACAACAAATCAATAAGTATTACCAACTATATTTGAGGATTTCTAAAATAGGGGCCCTCAACTTTGTGTTTCTGAATCACCTTGGGCACCGACTTAGAATGTTGATAATGGAGTCTTCCCTCCAAAGACAGGAAGTTTCAGATATTGCTTACAAATTGTATGCAGGTGATTTGCAAACAGAACATTGGGAGATCTTGTTCTAGCAAATTACCTCTTTCCTCCTCATTTCCATTTTTCCCTACCTCGTTCAGGCCCTGCACATCTCTTGCCTGGGTTTTCACAGTAGCCTTCATACTTATCCTTTAGCTCTCAACCCTTCATCCAGGCACCTCCCTGTTGCTGCCTGAGTGACCTTTTTAAGTGGAAAACTTTATCAGGTCACTTACTTCCCTTACTCCAGGTTCTATAATGGCTCCCCAGGACAAAAGTCAAAACTACTCAGCAAAGGAATTCCTTGGTGGTCCAATGGTTAGCACTTTCACTGCCATGGCCTGTGTTCAATCCCTGGTCAGGGAACTAAGATCCCACAAGCCATGCAGTGTGGCCAAAAAAAGAAAACTATTCAGTATGACACAAATGGCCCTACCTAGCTGTCCAGCCAGCCTCATCTCCTGCCCGCTCCTCTCACATTTTATGTTCCCGAACTGTGGATCTACTTGAAGCTTGTATCCCGTTATGCCTCCCTACTTGTTCCATTTGTTCCCTGTGCCTGGAATACTCTCTCTAACTCTTGTCACCTACAAATTGCTATTTTAAGCCTTAGCTTGAGGTTATCACTTCTGTTTATTCACTCCTGACTTTCCCAGGAAAGCAGAGTTACCTTTTACCATGTCTTTTCTTTGTATAGTATATATAACTCCATTACCATGACTACCACATTTTATTTCCTATTCCTTTCCTAAAATTGATCAGAGTCAACCATATAGAAATTGGAAAATTTCAAATTCTGTATTTTTAAAAATGTATTCAAATCCCACTACCAAAACACAATTTTTCCCGTTTTTCTTCACCTATAAGCATAATGATCACATAACTATAATTCTAGTGCACATGGAATCTTGTATTTTATTGCAAATCAATTTTGTTTGAAATACTTTTGAAAGCTTCTACATCATGTTCATGATCATTTTAAGGGTTTTGTAATAATCTAATAATAATCTATTGACTTGAGGAACTATAAATGGTCTAATCTTTTCACATTTTTGAACATTCCAGGTTTTCAGATTTTTTAATAGACAGAATTAACTAATAACTTTTTTCTTTTTTGATACGCTGAATTATTTACAAGAAAGAATCCACATAGTTTAACCTCTGAGAAATAATACAATTCAACAATGCTATATGCCAACATTTTTGTTTGATTTTTAAATATATTTTTAATATAACTTATTTAAATTCAAAGGAACTTCATTCCTACAGTATTGTGGCATCGTAAGACTTATTAATTCATATTTGAGATAAGTTGGCTTGTGGAGACATAGTAGGTTTAATCAATAAAAATTTTTGCTAAATTGGGATAAGCTATAATTTGCCCCCTGAATTTGTTATACTTTTCAACTCATCGACCAAGAAGGAAGGATCCATTACTCTTGCTTAATCACAAGCTATCTGATAACCTCCAAACTCTCCCTTTTCTTAGTCTATATTACACAGACGTATCCAAATATTTAATAATTGAATATTTAGCTTTAAATAGCTATATGAATTTGTATTTTCAAAATTTCTCTCTCTCTTTATATATATACATAGATAGATAGATAGATAGATAGATATTAATAGATAGATTCCTGATGGTAAATAAAATGTACATATGATATTGAATTATATATGCAGAGAGAAAATGAGACTACAAATATAGTGTGGACATTTGTCCTGTCTCCCTATGTATGATTCCTTGAGGGTAGAGATGAATTTTTCTATTCCTTTTGCAATTTCATAGTTTATGATAATGATTAATAATAAACATTTTAACTTAGTAATGGGAGTACCAGATTGAATCAACATAAACTTTTCTATATGTCTTCTGTTTCCTATTTAAAAAAAAAACCCGGGCTTCCCTGGTGGCACAGTGGTTGAGAGTCCGCCTGCCGATGCAGGGGACACGGGCTCGTGCCCTGGTCCGGGAAGATCCCACATGCCGCAAAGCGGCTAGGCCCGTGAGCCATGGCCGCTGAGCCTGCGCGTCCGGAGCCTGTGTTCCGCAACGGGAGAGGCTACAAGAGTGAGAGGCCCGTGTACCGCAAAAAAAAAAAAAAAAAAAAAAAACCCTACCATTCCAAACATTAGAAAGCAAGAGGTTGCAATATAGTGGTTGGAGCTAAAAGAATATGTATATAGTCTGTTGAGTATTAAGAATATAAAGGTAGGTAGGGAAAGGATTAATTTTAACTGAATACTTTATTATATGTTAGTGACTATACTTACATTTTCACATTTAATTCTCACAATGACCATGTGCAGTGAGATTTATTTTCCTTATTTTACAGATGGAGAAAACTGAGACTGAAAGAGATTTATTTTCCTTCCCAACACAGTAGTAAAATGGGCAGAAATGAAAGGAGCCTGCAGGTTGAACCCAGGTCTGTCTGATTCTAAAGCTTCTTTTTCCCCCATGTGCTTAATGTTGTATTCGAGAACTTAAAATTGTAAAGCTATCTGAGAACTCTATTACAATGCTTCACTTCAGAATTCTGTGCATTCTAATTGTGTATTTGGTTCCCTTCAATGTTAGTTTATTATGTTTATCAATACCTTTTCTCATTGTGTTCAGTAAGAACGTCCTGATAAGTCTAAGCTCATCAGTGACTGACATTCAACTTACTTTTAAATAAGATTTAATATTATACAGTTGCTTTACTTATATATTTTCAAAAACACTAGTGCTATTTGAGAAGATTTCCAGAAGTACTCTTGCTAAATTTAACTGTTTAATTTACAAACATATGACATAAGTATTGCTAATTTCAATATAAAAGTAGTTGAAAATTTTATAAACCTACTTTATACATTACTCTTGAGGAAAAACTTAAGGGTATTTGCTTTAAGTTATTTTGAAAAGTTATTGTCTAAATAGATCAGATAATTTTTCTGATTGAATATTTCAAAATCAAACAGTACTTCTAAGTAACATATACTGATTTGGATAGCATTTGCTTCTCTTTTAAGATAATAAACAAATATACAGTATTAAAGGATTGCATTTAAGGTTCTGTAAGAGAGCAGAAAATAACAAAAGCAATCTCCACAAGGTCGCTTCACATGAGGCATCTGTAAATTTGGTACCAGATCTGGATTTAATTCTTGAACAGTCAATATTGGCTTATAGCTATTCACAACCTCAGGTTCTTAATTTGTAAACTGAGGATTATAATAAATGTCATAGAGTTATTATTAAATTAGACAAATATATATCATAGCAATTCATAAATTATACAGTTCTATACAAATAGGATTTCAATATAATTACAAACAACTTAATTTTTAATATAATAGGTGATTGCCAACAAATACAATGGACCATCTGAAAGAACGTAAGACTCCTGTAAATGTTTTACAAGACTCCTCTAGGTCTAAATCTTTACATTTGTCCTGAACTTATCTACAAAGTAGATATATAATGAGAAAAGCTGTATCATTTAGATACCATTTACTAAAGAATCCAAATGACTTGAGTCATATATTTAAGTGCATAACAACTTTATTGTTCTATTTGTAAGGGGATTAGTTACCTGGTGCAATGTTTTCTGGATTTGGGGGACTTCGTGGATCCGGGGTGTTAGGAGGAGTAAATGGGGCTTGCTGTGAACCACTTTCCAAGTTGCTTCCATCCAATTTCTCATTCTGCATGGCAATATTGTGCTGTATTTGATCAAAAGTAAACTCAACTGAAAACTCAAAAATATTAGATACACTAATAGGAGAAATCATATGTGCAAGATGCCATTTGTATACTTAGAATTTAAATACAATGCCACTTCATTGTTACATGAGGTCTCAATAATTTATATTGTAATTAGTTGAGCTATTGAATGAGAAATTTTACTGATACCAATCTAAGATCTGTTTTGTGATGGCAATCCACTTAATTAATTGAGCCTTACTGTGTGCCAGGCACTGTGTCTAGGGCTTTGTATCAATTATGTAATTTGCTATTCACAACATACCTAAAAGGGAAATCTAAGTATTTAATTTTTAAGTCTTTACTAACTTAATATCATACAGCATACTCACCAAACATACGGCTTAGTCATTGTTACATTACTATTTTATTTATACTTGGGATTTAATGATATGCTTTAATATGCCTTGTTTTAAAATTTAATCTGAAATTTGGACAGCAGTCATATATAACAAAAAATATTTGCACTTTAAGCTGCATGAACTTATAGAAGGAAGAATTTGGGGTTTCTAGAAAATAAAATGCTTAGAAGAGCATTTGTCTTTAAAGTTTTAGGTGAATTTGTTTTACTCTTATAATTTGGGATTTATTCTATGGCAATATAGCAATTTAAAAACAGTCAGGTTGCATTTTAACAGAGAAAAACAGACATTGTAATAGGTTATATCCTCAGAAATATGGCTAGGACTTATCTCTATGGTAAAGTATTGTTTTAATCATATATGAGAAATATATATATACTTTTTAAAAAGCCAATCTATTTAAGAAGTGCGTAAAGTCAAATCATCTTTTAACTTTAGAAGGAAAAATTTATTGAAAGGCATAGCAAATAAAGACCAATTTTGACTTTCTTCTGTATGACATAAGCAGAAAGTAGTTTAAAATATTTTTTCATTTCTGTATTTATTTATAAGATGATAAGGTAAAGTACAATTTTACAGTTTAATACTTATTCAACTTTATAGAAATGTGAGGATAAAAGACTATTTTGTCCTAAAATCCAAATACTATAATTAAAGGCCATAAATTAAGGCCTCACCTGATAAAATTATGAAGAAAATTAAGTTTATTGCATTTTCAGGCTTCTCCCACCCACAGCCACTCTCCAGGTGCCTTTTACCTTCACTTTACTCTAGGCAGCACCCTGGTAAAGTTGCTGTGGAAATGAGTAGGGCAATGTTAGTAGGGGTAAGCTGGCTTGTGGAGCCATGCAAGAAGGCATGAGAGGCAACATCAACTAGGTGAGTACAGGGTCTTGATTACTGGGCATGAAAGTTTGCATTTTATTCAAGAGGCAATAAGAAACAATTTCTAGAGATGAGTAATGCTATACTCAGATACATCAGTTTTCCATGTTTTGAATTTAGCTCTTGTCTTAAGTGTTCAACTTAATTGACTGGATTAATATCTTTTATCACTTCTGAACCTACACCACCTCTTAGAAAAGAGAAAAGTTCTCCCTAACTTTAATTATAAATAAAAGCCAGTTGACATAAATATAGAAAGTTTAATTGTATCATGCATAAAAATTACTTTTTACAAATTACTGAAATGTGCCCATGAAATGAATTTCACCTAAACTTACAAACCATTCTACCTACATTAATTTAAAAATTGTCACACTAACCTCATTTATAGATAGGAAAATCAACTCTTTCTAAATAGTCATTAATTATCAGGAGACACCTAGTAGCTCTATTGTCATTGTTAAGTATACAAACAAAGGCTTTTAATAGTTGGGTAGTGACTTATTTTAGTTATGATATGAGCCTTAAATTATTTTTTATAAAGTTATTTTTTGAACAAAATAAATAAATGTTCAGAATCTCAATATATTTAGTTTGGTCTTATTTCAGAATTACTTGTTACAGTATACTTCCCCTTTTCCCAGTATTATCTAATATTTTAAGGATTTTGAAAAGTCCATAGTTACTAAAAGCAGATGTAGTCTTAACTGTAAAATGTGAATTGTTTTGATTAACATCCTTTTGTTGTGATTTATAGAAGGGACTTTTAATTCTGATGAATCATTCTTCTATTCTATTTTCACTCTAATGCTCATTCTCTTCATCCTTTTTTTTTTTTTTTTTGCCTATTTCTGTAAGAAGTTGATCAGTTCATGAACTAGGGCTTCAAAATTGGCATATGTAGCAAGCAACGTATCTTCATTTCTTTTTAAAAATGCCTATTTTCTGTTGTTATTTATGACATAAGTTTTGTGTGGCTTCAGTTTGCCAGTTTCTCAGCAATAGAGTAAGCCCAAAGCTGTGCTTTTTTTTTTTTTAATAACACTTAATATTTAAACCAGTGGCATTCATTACCAGGGAGTTGATTTATATTTTCATCTAATGATGTCCTGAACATTATAATAAAATAAGAAATGCATAAATATAAGTTAAATAATTATTTTGACAATATCTATAGCTCAAGGGAAGCAGTAAAAGGAAAAGGTCATTTCAGAAAATGTAGTCAATAAGTTAATTTGATATAAATCATATAAAGATGATTCAAGAATTAGATTATCAGTAAATAGTTGTTTTCTATTTTTCAATGTTATTTTGTCTCTCTATCACTAGACAAGAGCTATTTATCTTTGAAATACCAGCATAGTTTCTAGAACATGGTAGGCAATCAATAAATTTTTGCCAAAAGTATAAATAAATGAATGGAACTAGACCTGAACCTAATATTTTAAAAATTCCTGTCACATTATCAATGCTTGCTTCAAGTTGCAATCTAATACCGTGATAAAGCAAATGTGTCATCATACAATGTAGCTCACTACCTTCTTCAGTGATTTATTATGCAGGTCATTTTTAGAATTAGGATCAGAGAACACAGATCTTTAAAGCCAGAAAACACCTTACAAAACCATTTGCATCAATCCCTTATTTTATAAATGAGAAAACAGGTCCAGAAAGGCAAAGAAAGTTTTAAATTGACTCCAAATTACACAGATTATGGGAGAGCCAGGACTGAACCCTGGTCTTCCAGTTTCCAGGCCAGAGTTTCTTTTAATTACACCATGACAAGTGTCAGTGCAAGAACTCTAGAATTCTGAGAGCTGGGTTTCAGTCTACTTATTATGGTGTTACTTAAGCCAAATAAATATATGTACTTCCTTGAATACTACTTTCCTCATTTCTAAAGAAGAGAGAGTAAATTTCATCAGACTTCAGAATATGTTATGTAACTCAATGACATGTGACTTTATTCCATATATTATTATTGTTTATTGCTCTATGCTATTTATCAGCATTTAATTGCTTATTTCAATATAGCTATTTGGGATTATTTTATTTATTTAGTTCCCAATCTTCTAGGAACACTGAAAAACTATCAAGACCTGTTCTTAAACATTTTACCTATGACCAGAACATTTGACCACAGGTGTATAAGATTATTGTCAGTAATTGGAAATACTAGTGATAAGAGAATATGCTTTATTCTAATGGACATTTTAAATCTCATTGTACCTTCCACCAGAACTGTAGTTAAAGCATTATACTTAGAGATATAAATGTAAGTTATGAAAACTAGATTTATTCATTTATTCAGATGTCTAGACTTGTAGATGACTTTTCAGAGAATCTCCCTTAAGCTGCTATATTTCATATTATTCTTCAAAGCTGCTTCTCTGTTGTCATTATTGAAAGAATATGATTATATAATTACACTCTGTCAGATGAGTTAAGGGTTATTTTAGGCTCATGCTGTATTAGCTGCAGACATTTTCTGATAAGATGATACTGGGCATAATTATAGGGTAACATAACATTGCATTTATCCATGACTTCAAGTGAAAACCATCCTTCATAAGTGTAAATACTATGGTTGAGTAAAATTTGATGTCTAACTGAATTCATAATTATAACTAAATTCAATTCATGGGTGTTGAAGGATGCTCATTAATGTGAAAAGAAACAGTTTAAGATGTTCTCTAACCATTTATCGTTAACCAGCATCATAACAAGGGAAATAGTTCAGAAATGAAAAAAATTTTATTGTTTGTGAGTGCGGTTGTTAGTTCTGTAATGTGTTTTAGTAATTATGATAAAAGATCAGTGAAACCAGTCTGTTTGCTTTAAAGAATTTAGCTGTCCATTCAAAACAACTTAACTAGTGATGGCAGCTGGAAAGGTTTCAGGTTTAAATTCATAAGTAAACTTATAGACTTTTCATAGCTACAGGAAGAAACCCTCAATAAAAATACACAAAAGACAAAAAAACAACTTATATTTGTTGTAGTCTCTAGCATCTCCTCAAATTTAGAACCAATGCACTGTTGCTTTTTGATTCTTCATACCTGGTATTTTATTTTTAAAGTCATTTTCCCAAAGCTAATTGTTTTTCTACTATGAACTTCTTCCTCTAAAATCTCTCTGAATGACAAGAGAATATGGTATTCATGCAATATGTAAAATATAATTTAATTAATTTGTTTGCTTTTTTAAACTTCTGGTTGATGAAAACTTTTGTCCAAAGAGTTTTATCCACATTGGTTTTGTTGTTAATAAATAACAGACTTCTCTACACAATGTGGAATAAATGCTTTGAAAGGAGATCAACTGTGTCTGTAGTTCCCAGGCATGTTTTACTGCCAGGATGTATTCAGCCAATAAAATGCTTATACTTACTTTATGAAGCACTGTGTGCTTTGGAAATATTTCCATCCCAAACATGTAACCAGTGGTGATAAGACCATGGAAACTTTTAGTACCCAATGTCCACTCCCTCTCCCTGGTCTTAGCAGAACAGAGGAGCTCTTCAGTGCCAAATCTACAAACTTACAATGTCTGTACTGAACTAAAAAGATACTCATATCATGCATAATATTTCCTTTGTTTATCCACCTAAACTATTCATTATCATGAAAATAAAAAGTCTAACAGAATCAATGAAAAGAAAATTTGTAGAATACTTGTTTGAGAATCTAATAACACATATAAATTTAGAAGTGCTGCCCGTTTATTTAGGTACCACATTATCAAGTTATACCTACATTTATTTGTGCTTTAGATTCATAATGGAAATTTTCAAATGTATATTTGTCAGATCTTCTTTGTCGCATCTTAAATAGTCTGGCACCACGGTTACTGAGATGGGATAATTCTTCCAACATGATGTCTCTGGGGATGCTGACTTTCTTGCCCAGGTCCATGCCATCTACATCTGTAAAACAATATTCATGTGCATGAAAACCCCAAGATAAGCATTTTTAAGTGCTTTGCTAAATTTCATAATTTATTGCCCGCTATATGCTAGTATAGTGACTAAAATATAGGCTCTTTACTCAGACTGCCTTGGGTTGAATCCTGGCTCTACTACTTTCTAACTGTATGATCATAGATATGTTACTTATTTTTTGTAAACCTCAATTTCCTTATCTCTAAAGTGGGGCTAATAATAACACCTACTGCATAGGGTTGATTTGAGGATTAAATAAAATGTTTCTTATCAAACACTTAGCATCATACCTGGCACATAGAAAGAGTGAATGAAAGTAAGCTAATGACACTATTAATTTAGTCTTTCCTTATTTAGTGAGTTTTCAAACAACACTGATCATAATTCTCTTCATAAGCTCTGTTTGACTCCCAACATTTTTCTGTATCAATTTTAGCAGTCTCTGTTACAAGAATGTCTACCCTTTGGCCCATGCCACCCATTTTCCTGTCTCTGTCAGAATGCTATTCATTCTGCATCTAGCACCAAGGAGCCTAACATAAAGTAGGTAGATGATAAGCATTAAATGAACAAATCCTTCTCAATCTAGCTTATGTGCCATTTCTGTCAATTCCTTCTCTAAAATCTCTATTCATAATTATTCATGCCTTTTCTGTATTCCCATAGCACTGAATCACAATTACTTGATTCTGTTTTACTTATTTTATGGCTTACCCATTCTTTATGTTTTTGTCTTTGTGTCCCCCATGCCTTAAATATAGGAGATGTTCAGTAAACAACTGTTATTTTCTATTTCTAGTACTGAAGGACTTTTCTAAAATCCCAAAGAAATAAAACTCCTCCACTTGCACCTTTAATCAGAAATATCTTTTTGTGTAACCCACAGAGTTCTTTTGCCACTGTGTACTGCTCTTAAATGCAAAGAAGAAAAATTGGACCATTTGTAAAATAAATAATTATGCTGGTTGATGGGGACAACATTTTCTGATGTAACAAATTAACCCTAATAATTAGGCTTTTGGAGGTCTTTAGAGATAAAACAATAAAATTACTTACAAATTTTCTCCCCATTTTGCCTTGAAAAAAAATCAATTTGTTTATATATTTTGATGTTACCCAGAGAGGAGCTCCACTAATTATAAAAATTATAATATCAAGACTTCTGCTTCTGAGAAGATAGAATAGATCTACTTTTCCCTATACCTCTACTAAGTAAAAACTAAAAATCCTGGACATTATGTATAAAATAAACATAAGAAGACTCTGGAAGTTGGAGAGAAGAAGGCAGACCAGCTAGGGACAACAAGGTCCTTCCTCAGGATCCAAGGAACAACAAGGTACTGAATTCTCTGGGTTTTCTTTTAGCCCCATATATCCCAGACTTGGAGCTGAAGATGCTATTAACCCAGAAACACCAAAAGGTGCAGTCAAAAGCCTCCAAAAAGATTGTTCTCACTAGCCAAGACCAGGAAAGAAACAACCTAGAAAGACAGAAAACTTTTAGACAATAGCTACTCTACTTCAGCCAAATACCACAGGAAAAACTTTGGCCTCACCCATATCAACAAAGTTCAAGTGGGGAGCCCAGAATTTTACCCTTGCAAGGCTGTAATGAGGTGCCCCGCTGCTCCCATAAGGGTGGTATCAGAGGGGCTAAGGAGGAAGCTGGGACTTTCATCCCTGTCAGCCAGTAACAACTCTCCATCCCTGTAGTGTTAGTGGAGACCAGGTGGGGATTCTGAACTCCTACCCCCTCCTACTAGTAACTAAGTGACCCTCCTCAAGTTTCAGTAGGGGCCAACTGGGAAACCTTGACTTCCAACTGGGAAACCTTGACTTCCTACTTCCACCTGGCAGTGATGAGGTGGCACTCTCCTTCCCCTGCTGAAGCAGTCAGACTAGGATAGATAAAACAGAAGGCTTAAATAAGAGCAAGATTCTTAGAACATAATATGACAATATGCAGGCTCAAATAAAAAAATCATTTGTCATACCAAGAATCAGGAAGATCTCAAACTGAATGAAAAAAGACAGGTGCCAACATGAGGTGACTGAGATATTAAAATTAAATAACAAAGATTTTAAAGCAGCCATGATAAAAATACTTCAAAGAGCAATTACAAATTTCTGGAAACAAATGAAAGAAAAATAGAAAATTTTAGCAAAGAAATAAAAAATCATGGCAGAGAAATAAAAGTTGTAAAGAACCAAATGGAAACATTAGAACTGAAAAATAAAATACCCAAAATAAGAAGTTCAGTGGATGGATTCAGTAGCAGAATGGAGGGAATAAAGGAAAGAAATGGTGAATTGAGAGATAGAACAATGGAAATTACCCAATAAAAACAACAGAGAAAAACAAATAGACTGGGGAAAAAAAAAAAAGAAAGCCTTAGGGATTGGTGTGACTAGAACAAAAGATACAGCATTTATATCACTGAAGTCCCAGAAGGAGAGGAGGAGGCATGTGGGACTGGAAAAGTACACAAAGAAATAATGGCTAAAAACTTCCCCAATTTGGCAAGAGACATAAACCTACAGATTCAAGAAGCTAAAAGCATTCTATAAAAGATAAATCTATAGAACTCTACAACAAGACATATTATAAACTTCTAAAAACTAAAGACAATGGGAAAATCTTGAAAGCAGCCAGAGGAAAATGACAACTTACCTATAGGGAGAAAAAAATGAGAATGACAGTGGATTTCTCATTAGAAATCATGAAGATCAGAAGGAAGTGGGACAAAAATGCTGAAAAAAAAGAAATGTCAACCCAGAATCTGATACCAGGTGAAAATATTCTTTAGAAATAAAGGGGAAATTGAGACATCTTCAGATGAAGGAAAACTAGGAAATTTGTTGCCTGGAGACCTACCCTAGAAGAATGGTTCATGCTGTTACAACAAAATATCGAAGACTAGTGGCTAATAAACAACAGAAATATATTTCTCATAGGCCTGGAAGCTGAAAGTCTGAGATCTGTGTGCCAGCATAGTAGGTTCAGTTGAAATCATTCTTCTGAGTTGTAGACTGCCCACTTCTTACTGTGTTCTCACATGGTAGAAGGGACAAGAAAGCTCTCTTGGGCTTCTTTCATAAGGTCTTTAATATCATTCATGAAGACCCCACCCTCATGGCCTAGTCACTTCCCAAAGGCCCCATGTCCTAATACCATCAGGGACATTAGGATTTCAGTATTTGAATTCTGGGGGGCCACAAATATTCAGACCATAGCAAATAACTAAATTAAGTTCTTTAAACAAAAGGGAAACAATAAAATAAGGAATCTTAGAACATCGGAACAAAAAAAGATTACAGTAAGCAAAAACGTGGGTAAATACAGTAAGCCTCCCTTCCCCTCTTGAGTTTTCTAAATTATGTTTGATCATAGAAGCAAAAATTATAAAACTCTGATATAAATATATGTAGAAAATAGTTAACACAATTTTATTATAAACAGGGGAGGGTAAATAGACATGAAGGTAGATAAGTTTTCTGTACTTCACTTGAACTGATAAAATGACAATATCCGTAAACTTTGATAAGTTAAGCACATATAATGTAATAGAACAACTACCAAAAACTATACAGGTACACTTGAAAAACTATAGATAAATAAAAATGGAATTCTGAAACATGTGCAAGTAATCCGTAGGAAGCTAGGAAAAAGAAAACAGAAGGGAAAAACAGAGACAACAAACAGAAAACAAAAAATAAAATGATAGACTTAAGCTCTACTACATCAGTAGTAGAGCTTAAATAAAAATGCTCTAAATACCCTAATTAAAGGATAGAGACTAGCAGACTGGATTTTAAAACATGACCCAAGGGCTTCCCTGGTGGCGCAGTGGTTGAGAGTCCGCCTGCCGATGCAGGGGACATGGGTTCGTGCCCCGGTCCGGGAAGATCCCACATGCCACAGAGAGGCTGGGCCCGTGAGCCATGGCCGCTGAGCCTGCACTTCCAGAGCCTGTGCTCCTCAACGGGAGAGGCCACAACAGTGAGAGGCCCACGTACCGCAAAAAAACAAAAAAAACAAAACATGACCCAAATATAAGCTGTCTAGAAGAAACTCACTTCAAGTAAGTGCCTTGAACAATATAGGCAAGTTGAAAGTAACAGGATAGAAAAAGATATCAAGCAAACATTAATCAATGGAAAGCAGAAGCGCTTATGTTAATTCCAAAGTGGACTTCAGAGCAAAGAAAATTTCCAGAGACAGAGAACGTTATATAATGATTAAAGTGTCAATCCACCAAGAAGACCTAGAAATCCTAAATGTGTATGCACCAAAAAACAGAGCTGCAAATGGAGCAAAAATTAATAGAACTAAAAGGAGAAATAGATAAACCCACAATTAGAGTTGGAGACTTCAACATTCCTCTCTCAACAAGTGATAGGACAACAGAGAGAAAATCAGCAAGGATATAAAAGAAATCTACAACACCATCAACCAGTAGGATATAATCCTACTGTTTATAAAATATTTATAAACAGCATAAAATATTCTACTGAACAACAATAGAACACACATTCTTTCCAAGTGCACATGGAGTATATACCAAGACAGACCAATATCTTGGACCATAAAGTAAGCTTCAACAAATTTAAAAGAATCAAAATTATATACAGTATGATCTCTGATCACAATGGAATCACACTAGAAATGAGTAACAAAAAGTTTACAGAAAAATCTCCAAACATTTGGAAACTAAAAAAAAAAAAATCACACTTCTAAACAATCCATGAGTCAAAGAAGAAGTCTCAAGGGAAATAAAAAATTCATTGAACTGATTGAAATTAAAAATAGAGCATATCAAATTTATGGGGCACAGACAGTACAGTGCTGAGAGGGACATTTATAGCACTAAATGCATACATTAAAAAAAGAGGAAAAGTATCAAATCTATACTATAAACCCAAAGCAAGCAGAAGGAAGAAAATAATAAAGATAAGAGTAGAAATTAAAAACAGAAAAACAGTAG